CTGGTTTATAAATGTAATAATAAGACCCCCCCCCACTACTTAATATTTAATTTAAAATATTGACGGAAATTTTGGTCGATGTTTAGTAAATTTTATTTAATATCTCGTAACCAAGCCTTCTGGGGGAACAGGCAACAAGAAGGCAATATGATGGCCCTTATTAAGCTTATTGCAGATTCTGAACCTATACTAAAAATGTATATATAGCAAAATGAAGAAAGAAAAAAGGATAAAAAAAATAAGGGATTAAAAACGAAATTATATTCAAACCTATTATCATATAATGAAATAACATAAACATTCTCATTGAAACCATGAAAAATATGGTTATAAAAAAAATTCAAAATGAGATTATTAACAGGTGCTTTTCAATCATAGTTGATGGCACATACGATGTTTCGAAATCAGAAGCAATAGCTTTGATAGTATATGTTGAAAATAGTGAGACGCCGAAGCCTGTTGAAAGACTGATTGACATATATTGTACGGGAAATACCAAAGGTCTCGATATAAAGAAAAATATAATATCCAAACTTGGCTCGATGAATTTACCCCTTGAATATCTAGTTGGGCAAAGTTATGATGGCGCCTCAAACATGAGTGGAAGAATCAATGGTGTGCAAGCCTTGATTAGAGCAGAGGCGCCAAAGGCAGCTTTTATTTGGTGTTATTGTCATCGATTAAATTTAATCGTTATTCAATTATGCCAATCAATTAAAAAACTTCGAAATGTTCTAGGAATACTAGATGAGATTTATGTCTATTTTAATGGTGTAAAAAGATATGAGGTACTCAAAAAATTTCAGTGTAATGATCTGAAAAAATCGCAACGATTTCTACGCGTCAAGAATACCACTCGGTAATAGTTCCTTATTAATTTAAATTTTAAATATTTTTTTTATTTAGAAGCTGGCTATCGTCATATAAAGCTATTGTAAATTTTTTTCAACTTTATGATGCCTTGAGGGCAGCTTTAACAAATTTAAAGGATTCTGAAGATCCTGCCACTTCCACTATGGCTAGTGCTATAGTCTTTAGAATAGAAAAATTTGATTTTATCTTATCACTTTGTATTTTGGATAAAATATTGTTGATAACAAGTTTGGCTTGTACAAAATTGCAAACCATTTCGAAGGATATAGGGTATGCAATAAATCAAATTCAATTGGCAAAAGATTGCTTGATTAATTTGAGAAGTATAATATAAATTATTGTCTTAATTATTTTTTAATCTAATAGATAATAACAGTGAATTTTTGGATGTTTTTTCAAAGGCGCAAAATTTTATGAAGGAGAGAAATCTACCTTTTGATTTTGAAAGTTCTAGACTTCAAACATTACAATCCAAAAAGGAGAGGTATATATACTTTCATCATTAAATATAGAATTTTTTTTAGCTTTAAGTGTTTTATGCTGCACTCGATATTATTATGCATTTTAACGAAAGATTTAATGATGATTCAATGAAATTTTTACATCAAACATCATTTTTTACGCCAAAGGGAATGGCAGAAAAATCAATTATTAAAGAAGATATCGAGGATATCTGTGAATTTTACAATTTAAATTCAAGTCAAATTTTCGAAGAAATGTTGAAGTTTAGAAATATTTATAAGATGGCCATAATGGGGAATGTAATTATTACTCATGACCTAGAGGTTCAAGAATCTAAAGATTTGTCAGATTCTGAGAATTGTAAATTTATTTAATTAAAATATTTTTACCAATACATTATTTAGCTTCTTGTGATGATGATGATAATTCAGGGACTTACGATTCAGATTGGAAAAACTTTACCTTATCGTTTACTTTTAAATTTTTCTGCTTTCCCTAATTTAAGAATTTTATATAAATATTATTAACCATTCCCACAACCTCGTGTACTGGCGAAAGAGTCATGAGTAAAATTAAATTAATTAAAACATGACTGCGCAGTACCATGAAGGATTTTTTTCTCAATAATTTAACCATATTATCAATGGAAAAATTTTTATTTAAACAATTAAATACTGATGAAATTATAAATTCTTTCGCTTTCTCCTCCCCTAATTTATCTAAAATTAATTTAAAAATAATATTTATAAAGTTATATTTTTTGCATTTTATTTATATTATATATTAAAAATTGATGCAATAAAAATTATTTTTGAAATTTATGGGTGTCATAATTATCATTTTTTCGAAGGGGGGGGGATACTTTTCATCGGGGTATTCTGCTTCATTCGCTCAAAAAGTGTAGGGGCCACTGCTTAAACCTATTAATTTTAAACATGGCTAATATGTGTTAAAAAATATATAGCATTTTATATTAAGCTAAATTTAAAAAAAAATTTATTCGTAAAGTTTTGAAAACGTCTCGTGAACGCGTTCCTTTTTTTGAAAGTGAACTTGAGAGTGAACGCGTTCGATTTTTGTCAATGAACGTTGAACGCATTCGATTTTTTTAGAAATGTTTACAGCACAATATCATAATATATATTAAAAATTAAATATTTATGAAAAATATCCCTTTTTATTTTATCGTAACCCAATATTGTAAATATCTATTGCAATTCCCACGAGGCTATCTATTATGTACACAGCCATAGACTTAATGTGTGCAGCCGATATATGTTACATCTATTATTATCTATCATTTGAATGACTTGTCAAAAATAATTAACATTTATGATAAAAGAGCGTTTATTAGAAATTTTTTTAAAAAATCCTTATTTTTGTGTCTTCAATTTTTTGGAAATCTGTAAAATTTCTTATGAGGATAAGGGCCAAAAAAATAATTTTTTTAAAATCCAGGACTAGCCAGGTTTCATAAATAAATTTTAAATCTCAACCTGATAAGTTAAAATGTCAGTCTGTGAGTCTCTGCTATATTCAACCATATTTAAATACATAAAAAATAATAAATTCGAAAAAATAGCGCCTTCAATATTTGGTTACTTCCAGTAGCGTCACAAGCCTTTACAATCTAAAGGGGTTCAAAAATCATTTTTTTAAATAACCTGTTTAAATTTTTTAAGCTAAAACATCTTCAAAATGACCTTTCTTTTTATTTAGTTAACATTTTTAAAATGATCCTTTTTAAGATATTTCCAAATTTTTTTAGGAGGCTCAAGTCCCTAGCACCCTTCCCCACTATTGGCCACTGGTTTCGTCTACTCTAATTCTTACTTAAAATATTTAAATAACGTTGGCTGGGTGTTAGAATAGTCTATATCCATTTTTTTAAATTGCTTAATGGAGAATTTTTTTAAAAAAAAGATTTCTTGTATGAAAATAAATTCTCAATTATATTTTAACATTTTTATCGAAGATATAATACTAAAAGAATATTATTAGAAATATTTTGCAAAAAAGTGGATATATAACATTATAATACTCAGCCAACGATATATTGATAATAAACATATCTGCTGAGATTCATCATCCCAAAATGAGGTTAGTTCAAAAAATTTCTTTTTTGTTTTTTTTGAAAATATATCGACACCAAAAGAATTTTTTCAAATTATTTTTATATTTTCAAAAAGAAAATTTTTATGGTTACAAAATGTTACATAATATATAGATTTTGAATAAATATTTATCAAAAAATTTGAGATTATTAAAACTGAAATCATGCATGTATAGGAGTTGAGCCCATAAGTCTGGGTTTATATGAGAGAGAGCTTTAAAACTTTGACATTTATTTAAGTTAGACTATATATAACCATCATAAGTTTCATTCGTTTTCAAATATGGTTGATCATAAGTAGTATTTTCAAAGAATAGAATAAACTTAAATGATTTCAATAATTGGAAAATCATATAATTATTTTTAATTGAAATTTTAGACATAATTATGGTTCCGTTTTGGGAACCCAATTATAAAATTGTAATTTTAATTATATAGTTTTTAAATTTTTATAGTGTTTCATAGTATTTTAATTTATTGTAAATTGTAATCGTTTTTAAATCAAAATAAAACCATAATAAAGAAAAATAATCATATAATATTTTCAATTTTCCTCTGAAATAATTTGCAAAAAATTATTCAAAATAAAAAAACTTTAAAAATTTTTGGCAGGACCATAAAAAAACTGGGCCAGGTAAATAAAAAAATTGCAAAAAATAATTTGGGGAACTGTTAAAAATTCTGACCTCTGCAGATCTCTTATAAAAATAAAGCATACACTTTAATACCTTTGGATCAAATAAATTCAAAAAAAAAATTCTGGGATGATTGTACAGTGTGGAACTGGAAGCAATCTAAGAATTGGAACCACAAAAACTTCTCTTTTAAAATTTCTAAGAACCACAATATATTTAAAAATATGCAGAAAATAGTTTTGGTTCTAGAACATCCATTTTTAGCCCAAATTCCAAACTTTGATCCTATATCTATTATAAAATTTAACAATTTATATAAAATTGTAATTAAACAATAATTACTATTTATCAGGCCTGGTAAAATAAAATTAACTCAGTGGATCAAAAATATTTTTTTACAAATCCAGGCTAGGCTTAAAAATAGGAAAATTTTTTATATGCTGGCTGTTTAAAAATTTATCCTTTGAAGGTCCCTGAAATTTTATTTCTCATTATATTTATTTTGTTTTTTGGAATACCCAGGCTCGTAACCAATAGGGGAGGGGGGGGGGATTATCCTCTATTGCAAATTTGTTTGTTTTTATAAATATCATTCCAAGGTAATAAAAATTTCCCCTCACTCCTTTCCTCAAAAATGTATATAATATTTCAATATAAGGAAGAAATTGAAAGAAAAATTAATAAAAGTAAATAACTTTTTAAAATAATGACTATAATTCAAAATTTTTAGAAAAAAAAGCATTTTAATAATAAAAAAAAAATTATTTTTATAAAAATCTAATATAGCCAAAGGCCTACAACAATAAAATTTATGGGGAAATACCTAATAGTGCCTTCCCCCTTAGCAAAATCTTGGATACATATATGGGTGTACCCTATTAACTATCTGATTTAATCAATACAAAATTAAGTTTTACTTCTTTCCCCATGGTTCCATATTCTTCTTCCACCAAACTAATATCACCATGTAGTTCTGACAAACTGGGCCGACCTCCAGTCTTAACATTATCATCTGAAAAGATGTTTTTGTAATGTTGGGCAGAAGGGAGTGTTTCATAAGTAGATATTTTTTTCCGGAAATAATTTTTCCTATCTTCATCTATGAAACCTCTATCCTCAATATCATCTTTACTATCCTCATTATCACTAATATTTATTTCATTCCCTTCAATATGATTATTATCATTTATTTTTGAGTGTAATTGAACATTTTTTTTGCCCCGAATAATATTATCATCATCGCTATATGTGATTCCTTTATTTTTGTTTTTGCCTCGACGGAAAGCACTAGGCAAAGGTAGGGGGCTAATGTCATCTTCAGGTGTATCTTTTTGGAAACTTGCATTTAAAAAACTATGATCTGATGGTTTATGATCTGTGTTTGATGTAGTGAGATGGCTGCTAGATAAATCTGTTAATTTATTGACATTATTGGTAGTTGGATGTTCATCCTGAGATTGAAAAGTTGGGTTGTCTGCTCCTTTCTGAAGTTGTGTCATTAGATTTAAATCATCTCTGTGATTGATAGTTGGGGATGAACTACTACTTTCACCATCATACCTATTTGGTGATAATTTAATAGGATCTATTCCAAAACGTGTTCCATTCATTTTCTGAGCAATATTTGCATCAGCAGTGGGTAGATTCTTTCCAAGTTTTGAATCATTTTGAGATTCAGTATCAGCTGATATTGTATTAAATTTATCCATTATGATAAAATGGTTGAGTTATAAGAAATATTTTATTTTTGTCCTTGTAAAGATATCAGAATTTTTAAAAATAGATAAGAACTAATCTCCAATTTTATAAAAAACATTAATACATAACACAAATCATTAAATAATGTAAACCAAATGAGAATATAATAATTAAATTAAAAGTTATTATCCTTTGAAATCTTAAAACATCGTATTTTTATATTTTCGCAAATTTTTAAAAATATAGTTTCAATAAAATACGAACTTATTGATTTTTAAATAGGGTTTAGTGCTAAATGTTGTCAATGTTAAAAATTACCATATTAAAATATATTTTTGTTAATATATTTATTATCCTTAAATATTATCCTTAAATATTATCCTTAAATATTATCCTTAAATATTATCCTTAAATATTATCCTTAAATATTATCCTTAAATATTATCCTTAAATATTATCCTTAAATATTATCCTTAAATATTATCCTTAAATATTATCCTTAAATATTATCCTTAAATATTATCCTTAAATATTATCCTTAAATATTATCCTTAAATATTATCCTTAAATATTATCCTTAAATATTATCCTTAAATATTATCCTTAAATATTATCCTTAAATATTATCCTTAAATATTATCCTTAAATAGCAATAGATTTTTTTGAAAATCGCGATTTATTCTTAAAAAGATAACGTTTTTATATCTAAGTGTATTCCATTTTTTTAATATTTCAAATGTTTTACTTAATCTAACATAAGCTTTAAATACTATGTTCAGACATGTCAAGATATTTGGAATACATGCAACATAAGTTTTTTTGTATATTTATTATTTTATTTAGAAAATGGGATTGTGTTGTGCAATGGTGTACTGCTTAAAAACTTGGCGGATGGGGGGGGGGGGCTAGTTTGCTATGATTTTTAAATATATTATCAATAAATATGATATATACAAAATCGATTATTTTAATTAGAAATATAAAATTCTTTATTTATGTAATCTTTTTAAAATAATGTAACACCGATCTCCATACAAGTTAAAATATAAATAAATAGGAGTTTAAAAAAATTCCATAAATTTTACATTTCTTTGTTTTCTCTTGGCTGTATTTTTCTTATATAAATTTCATTCGCTCGCGACTATTTCTGTTCTATATTTTGATATATAAATCAGCAATCCATCACGATATCGAAAGTCCATCAATATTTATGAACATAAAAGTATCCACATACATAGTTAAGGAATTTAAAAAAAAATTTATTATGAATATCTTCATAAATATATTTTCTAAGCCAGTTCAATTAATTTGAATCGTTGATGGATTTTTTTTATTGCTTTTGTTAAATCGCCCATCTAGGTTCTTAGGTCAATTTCTTTTTGAATAAAATAAATATCGTAAAGAAATTCTAAAATAAAATTATTTTATTATAATTTATGTCAATTTAGTCTCTTTTTTAACGCCACCCATTTGACAGGATTGCATGAGGCTTTCTAGAGTAATTATATATTGGTTTATTTTTATAAGTTTTGACATTTTTTAATTGTATATTTTGAAATATTAGGGAAATTGAATCGAGTGGCATCTGTAAATATTTATTTACATACAACGGTTACATGAGGGATTTGCCTCTAATGTTTTTGAAGGGGGGTAGTGGGTGTGCATCCGGAGGAGTGGGAGGGGGGGGGGGGGGGTAAATAAAAATAAACACAAAGATTAAACATAAAATAATTGATAAAATTTCTTAATATATTAATAAATAGTTATTTCTCATTCATTCTTAAAAAACATATTAAGTACCCTATTAAAAATCACAAATTTTAGAAATTAATATGGAATCATGTTTAGTTCTTTGAAAATTCAGAAATGTTAATATTAATATATTTTTTTAAATTTAAAATGTTGAAAAAAAAAACATTTTCTTGACTAAAATACGAATCCCTAGTAACTCTATTAAAAATCACGAATTTATAAAATTAATATAGAATCATGTTTAACTCTTTGAGAGGATTTAGATATTAAAAAAATCAAAAAAATTTTAAAATATTTAAGAAACATCTTTTTTTTAACTCTAATACTAATCCTCATGAGTTTCTACAAATCCTCGTAAATTATAGATTATTTTTTAAATAAATGTGGAATCATGTTTAGTAATTTAAAAGTATTCATAAAATGTTAATATTCATTTTTAAAAAAATTAAAATAAATGTGAAATCATTTTTAGCACTTTAATAGTATTCAAATTCATAAAATGTTAATATTAATTTTTTAAAAAATTATTAAATTACTGAAATAATTGGAAAATATTGACTAAGATACACGAATTTCCAATAAAAACGCGAGTTTAATGAAATTTATATAGAATCATGTTTAGCACTTTAAGAATTTTCAGAAAATGTTAATAATTTTTTCGAAACCTAGTATCAATCTAATAATTTATGGAAGGCATTGCAAACAAGGTACGAGTAAAAACAAACTTTTATTGAAAAATTTATATAACTCTTTTTTACAAAAATATATTACACTTTATATACATTTTCAATAATGAGTTTTTGTAAATATTCACAAAATAAAAATAAGGTTTTTTAGTATGTTAAAGACAATTTTTAAAAGACAATTTGTAAAAGGTATTTTGAATATCATATAATATAAAAACCTTCAAAAAATATAAATATAATATGTCATATTCAACATCTCCCCCTTTTTCTAAGTGAACTCTTCCTCCATTTGTCATCTCCTTCATAGCTCCATTAATCATTTGTCGATCTGTCTCGAATTAGTTTGTGCCTACTAGCTTGTTCATCTCGTTATTCATTATCATTTTTATCAATGTTTGTAAATATATATTATGATCAATATATCTCAAATAAAATAATTTTGGAATAATTGAAATGATAATGGAATAAATAATTTATCAGAATCAATCATAAGAATAAGAATCATGGAATATAGAATAATATAATATTTGGAATTGTTTCATTTTATATTATAATTTTTTATTTAATTATTTTTATTTTTAAATTTTACTCCTTTATTTTTCAATTTAAACACTTTTTTTATATCATAATTTCTCTTTAACTTGTTCTTTATAACAAAATTTCTCTTTCTCCTTCCATTTTCAACATACGATCTCCATATCGTACTCCTAATCTCTCTTTCAATATCACGATATTTAATCACCTTTGTTTTAATTTTCTTTTCCAAAGTTTTTTTAAATTTTTTATTAATTATAAAATTTTTTATTTTATTATTTTCTTCAATTTTTATTTCATTATTGTTTTTAATAACTATTATTTCTTCAATTGTTATCAAATGATTTATTTCTTCCAATTTATAAGAATTTATTTCTTTTTTAACATTTAATTTACACAATTCAATTTTATTCAAGTTTTTATTATTATTATATTTATAATTTTCATGCTTTTTATTGTAATATGTACCTTCATTATGTTCCCAAAAACTTTTATCCACGTCCTTCCCAGAATTGCAATTTTGTCATTTTGGACTACAAAAGCATCTAAATTTTGAGTTTTGTCTTCATATCTCACTTTTATTTTAACGATTCCTAGCACCTCTATTCTTCTCCCATCATAGCCAGTCAGTTTCGTATCCGATTTATTCAAGACTTTGATTCCTATCTTTCTAGCAATATTAATCGGCAATATAGAAAATCGTGACCCGGTATTTATCTGCATCTCTACTGGTATATCGTTAAGGTATATCGTAACTTTGTAATCATCAGTCATCATCATCCATTCTATTTACGTCAAATCTGTTCTTGTATGACTGATTATTGTTCTGATTATTATTGTATCTAGGTATGTATCTCGATTCGTTCTGATGTCTATAATATCTATAATTATTTTCATTATATTTGCAATTATCATTATTATTATATCTATAGTTATTGTAGTTATAATTATTTTTATTGTTAAATCTTGTAAAATTATTATACGGTCCTGGTCCATTATACCCCCTATCATTATCATAAACTCTAGGATTATAATTGTTTCTATATCTTGGTACATAATTATTTGTATGTCTCGAATCTTCATAATTATCGTATCTCGGTTTCCACTGATATCTATGTAAGTGCGACTTCATCCCTTTACCGTGCTCATCGTATTTCATCATCCTTAAATTTTTTACTAAATAATCTTCTAATTAATCTATTAATTTTGTTTTATCAATATTGTCTTATTTTAAATATTTCAACATTAAAATTTTATTATATTTTTATTCAATTTTATATTTTAATCTCTTACGTTTTTTTTAGAATAATATTAAAATCATTTTCCATAATCCTCTTTTGTCTAGCTTCACCATGTTTCAGTATAATTTGTAGCGTCTTAATCCGCTGCCACCATGCCACCATAATAATTTATGGAAGGCATTGCAAACAAGGTACGAGTAAAGACAAACTTTTATTGAAAAATTTATATAACTCTTTTTTACAAAAATATATTACACTTTATATACATTTACAATAATGAGTTTTTGTAAATATTCACAAAATAAAAATAAGGTTTTTAGTATGTTAAAGACAATTTTTAAAAGACAATTTGTAAAAGGTATTTTGAATATCATATAATATAAAAACCTTCAAAAAATATAAATATAATATGTCATATTCAACACAATCTATCGGAGACTACGCTAATTATATAATAATTTTAAAAAATCTCATACTAAATTTAACCCATCGCATATTTTTAAAAAATGTTTAGCGTCTTATTTCATTTTTTGTTAAATTTTATCATACATATATTTAATTAAAATAAGAAAACTTAGATTTTAATAAACAAAATTAAATGATTATAAATAATTGTTAGATTTTAATAAAAAAAACATTCCCAAAATTTTTATCACTGAGGCACTCCCGTTTTTGTGCGCATAAAGATATTTTTAGTCACACTAAATTCTTTCTATCAAAGCACTTGATGGCAGAGTGGTTGTTATATTTAATGAATAACAACTATATATTGGTATAATCATTAAATATATTAAAATCCCGTCACTCACTTTAAAAATAATTGTTCAAAATTTAATGTGTCAAAACTTATATCAATAATAAAAGGTGCCCAAAAAATCTAATATTAAATTATTTGATTTCCGAGATTGTCTAAAAATTTTGATCTAAAAATTATTATATACATTTTTATAATTTATATAAATAAAATATAATATAATC